ACTAATGGAATGGCTGGGTCAAATGGTATTTCTAATTCCAACTTTTGAAGGAATTGCCATGCTGCTTTCCACAGTGGTTGTACCATTTTACAGTCCCACCAGCAGTATATGAGAGTCCCAATCTTTCCACATCCTCTCGAGCATTTGTTATTTTCTGTCTTGTTGAACTTTGCTGCTAGTGCTGGGGCAAGATGGTATCTCATTGTTGGTTTGATATGCATCTCTCTAATGGCTAATGATCACAAGCATTTCTTCATGTTTGTTGGCTGCCTGAATATTCTTCTTGGTGAAGTGTCTATTCATGTCTTCTGCCCATTTTTCAATTGGATTATTTTTAGTCTTTTTGTTATTGAGGTGTTAGAGTTTTCTATAAATTCTAGCGATAAGTACCTTGTCAGATATGTCAGTGCCCAATATTCTTTGCCAATCTGTAGGTTCCCTTTTGACTCTTTTGGAGAAGTCTTTGGAAGCACAGAAAAATTTAATTTTTAGAAGGTCCCATTCATCTAGTTTCTCTACTCGTGTTTGCGCATTTTGGGTTATGCTTGATAGTTTATTTATGCCATATATTGTTGTTGTTGTTGTTAAGTGCCGTCGAGTCGTTTCTGACTCATAGCGACCCCATGCACAGCAGAACGAAACACTGCCTGATCCCGCGCCAGCCCCACAATCCCTGCTATACTCGAGCCCATCATCGCAGCCACTGTATCAATCCATCTCCCTGAAGGCCTCCCCCTCTTTCGTCGACCCTCCACCCTACCAAGCATGACATCCTTCTCCAGGGAATGGTCCCTTCTTACAACATGACCAAAACAGGTGAGACGAAGTCTGGCCATTCTTGCTTCCAAGGAGCATTCTGGCTGCACTTCCTCCAGGACAGATCTGTTAGTTCTTTTAGCAGTCCATGGTACTTTCAGCATTCTCCGCCAGCACCACAACTCAAAAGCATCAACTCTTCTTCGGTCTTCCTTATTCATTGTCCAGCTCTCACATGCATACGAGGCGATTGGAAATATCATGGCTTGTGTCAGGCACACCTTAGTCCTCAAGGAGATATCCTTGCTCCTCAGCACTTGAAACAGTTCCTTCGCAGTTGACTTCCCCAATGCTACACATCGTCTAATGTCCTGACTGCTGCTTCCGTTTGCATCGATTGTAGAACCAAGCAACGTGAATTCCTTGACAACCTCAATCTTCTCTCCATTTATTGTGATGCTGCTCATTGGTCATATATTAGGGCCCCTAAATTTGCCCTTAGTTTTTCCTTGAGGAACTCTATAGTTTTAGGTTTCACGTTTAAGTCTTTGATCCATCTGGAGTCAGTTTTTGTGTATGGTGTGAGGTACAGATCTTATTTCATTTTTTCTGCAAACGGATATCCAGTTTTGCCAGCACCATTTATTAAACAAATGTTTTCTTCCTCATTTAATGAATTTTGGCCCTTTGTCAAAGATCAGCTGAGCATAGGTCAATGGATCTATTTCTGGGTTCTCAATTCTATTCCATTGTTCTATATGTCTGTCATTGTACCAATACCAGGCATTTTTGATGACTGTGGCTATATAGTAGGTTTTGAGATCCAGCAGTGTGAGACCTCCTACTTTCTTCTTCTTCTTCAATAGTGCTTTGCTTATCTGGGGTCTCTGAAAAGGGTATATATATAATATGTATTTTTTAAATTGTGATTTGGGTGAAAATTTACAGAGCAAATTCACTTTCCATACAGAAGTTCACATATACTTTGTCTCGTGACATTGACCACAATTTACCACAATGCAACATCTCCCTTCCTACTTCCTCCCGATAGTTACCTCTTCCCTGTGTCCATCACTCCATGCACTCCTGCCTCCTGAGCTGTCTCCCTGTGTATAAGCAGCCCTTCTTTCTCCCATGATTGTTCTCTCCAAGGAGTATATCTATCTCAGGGAAATGTTCAACTCATATGCCTGTCTATTGTTGGCTGGAAGCCACAGGCGTGGGTTCAACTTCAGACCTGAAAGGCAGCTAGGGGCCATAGTCTCAGTGGTTCCACCAGGCTCTATTGGACCAGCAAACCTGGTCCCCCCCCTTTTTTTTCCTCCAAATGACTTTGAGTTTTGTTACACATCATTCTCCCTCTCTATCCAGTATCTCCTACATAGATCCCCTTCCAAGTGGTTGACAGTAGTAGCCGGGCACCATCTAGTTCTCCTGGTCTCATAGTTGTATAGGCTGCAGATTGGATGGTGTACCAGTCACTATGACTAATTGTTTCCATGAATTTTTGGTTTTCTTCATTCTTCTTTGCTCTGGACGAGGAGAGACCCATCGTTGTATCTAGATTGCAGCTTGTAAGCTTTTAAGATAATGAAAAGAGTATATATTTTTTATAATTTAAAAAATCCTATGGAATTTTCCCTCAAACAGATAGATTTTCCTTTATTTAGAATGATACAAATTCAGTCTTGTCTTCTTTCAAAGTTCATTTTAATCAAGGCTTCTTCAAACATCTCTCTACATTGTTTGCTCACCTACCTCAAGATATGGCTTTCCAAAGAATCTAGCATCCAGTCCAGCAACTGGCCTTTTCTCCTACCACTCTATTCCTAGTTCATCAAGGGAGGGATGCTGAGTTTGTCACTGTTGCACTTCAGGGGCTTCAAACTCCTTTCCTCTGCTTAGGATCTTTTTCCTCCAGGACCTCTGTGGTCTTCCCCTTCTCTTCATGCAAATCTTCTCAGATATTAGCCTCAGAGAAGCTGACAATGCTATCTAAAACAGCTCCGCATCCACCTCACTCTTTCTTCCCTTGCCCTTTCTCTTTTAATACAGAAAAAAATGTTAAGCTCTCCATAATGAAATATGTGCAGATTAACAATACAAGGAGATCACAGTTTTCAGTTGTCAAGTTTGAAATGATAAAAATAATTATAATATTATTCAGCCATACATAGAAATGAAGTTTTGATACATGCTACCACACACATGAACATTGAAAATGTGCTGAGTGAAATAAGTCAGATATAAAAGGACAAATGTTGCATGATCCCATTTAGATAAAATATCTAGATTAGACAAATACATTAAGAAGTTATTATTAGTTACCAGGGAATGAGGGAAGGAGAAAGTGGGAGTTATTGGTGAAGGGGTAGTAAATTTGGGGTGTTCTAAAACGTTTGGAAATGGGTAGTGGTGATGGTAGCACAATATCGTAAATGTAATAATTAATGTCACTGAACTGTACACTTAAAAAAGGTTAAAATGGCAAACTTTCTGTTATATATTTTTTTTCTCAATAAATTAAAAAAATATATAACAATTACAACAAGTGGAGTCAGAAGAGCTATTTTATGATTGCTGGCATAAGCTATTATACTTTTTCTGGAAAATAATGCAACATGTTTTGAAGTCTTAAAGAATGCATAATTTCAATTCTAAGACTATCTCTTATGGGTTTAACAGAAGGTAGGTGTCTTAGCTCTCTAGTACTGCTATAACAGAAATACAAGTAGATGGTTTAAACAAGGAGAAATTCATTCTCTCACAGTTTAGGAGGCTAGAAGTGCAAATTCAGGGTCCCAGCTCTGGGAGAATACTGGGACCACAGGTGCTGAAAGGAGGCAAGGACCTTCCTCCTAAATTGTGAGCCAGCAGAGAGAGTTAGCATTTGGCTTTTACCCAAAAGGTTGGAGGTTTGAGTCCACTCAGAGACACTTCTTGAGTCTACCCAGAGACACCTCAGAAGAAGGGCCTAGCCATCTACTTCTGAAAAATCAGTTATTGAAAATCCTATAGAACAGTTCTACTCTGATATACATGGGGTTGCCAGAAGTCAGAATTGACTCTACACCAACTGGTAAGTGGTAGATAACAAGTTGCCATCAAGTTGATTCTGACTCACAGCGATCCTATAGAACAGAGCAGAACTGTGTACAACAGGGTTTCCAAGGCTGTAATCTTTCCAGAAGCATATCGTCACATCTTTCTCCTGCAGTCAACCACTTAACCACTGCACCACCAAAACTTCTTAACTAGTAAGTATATATAGTATATAATAAAAAAAAGAAAGCAAGGTTAGTCCAAAATTGGTTCCCAATATTGGTATACCCATTATCTGGGGAATTTATTAAAATCATGGATGTCTTGGCTGTGCCCCAACTCATAAAACCAAACTCACTGCCATCACGTCAATTCCAACTCATAACAACCCTCGTTGGGTTTCCAAGGCTACAAATCTTTACAGCAGCAGACTGCCTCATCTTTCTTCCATGGAGTGGCTGGTGGGTTCAAATCAGCGACCTTTTGGTTAGCAGCCAAATGCCTTAACCACTGAACAACCAGAACTCCTTAGACCTACCAAATTAGTATCTTGAGTTACTGATGAAGTAGGAATATGGGCAATTACAATTACACTCTTCATACTACTTGTCAGTGTATCATTATTTTACCTACGTATTTGTCTATCTCACCTGCTAGAATATACGCTCCAACTAGAACATATGAATTGCTCTGCAAAGAAAAGGGGGAGGCTGAGGAAGATGGATGGACAGGGAGACAGGACAGCAGAAGGGAAGGAGGACAGGGATAATTGGGTGGCTGCACAGGCATTTGACTATGGGCAAGGAGTGTCTAAGGGATAGTTTTCAAGGGCAATGCTGGATGCTGGGTGATATAAACTACCCCTTCCTAGCTCCGTAAGGAAAGCTTCAATATAGTGTTAATTAATTTCTCACTAACAGCCAGTGGTTAAGGCATTTGGGTGCTAACCAAAAGTCAGTGGTTCAAACCCATCAGCTGTTCCATGGGAGATCTATAAGACAGTCTGCTTCTGTAAAGATTTACAGCCTTGGAAACCTTATGGGACAGTTCTACTCTCCACTACAGGGTAACTATAAGTCAGAATAGACTTGATGGCAGAGGGTTTGGTTTGTTCACTGTATAGCTACACAGGACTATTGAAAGTGAGTGGGAAGAAATGCTGAGTCCTACTTAAAGGAGGATAATTGTTAACGCTGACTCACCTTGAGAAGCAAATGTGTTGTGGTAGATCTCATAGACTTTTCTGTGTGCGTCCATGAGGGCCTGGAGACATGATGTTCTTGACTCCTGGTAAGGAAGTTCTGTTATCACCTCCTCCAAGTCACTAAAAGTGAACCAGATCCCAACTAGGTCCCCAAAGGAGTGAAAGGCGAATGTGGCATAGTCAGCAAAGAGATCAGCGAAGGCTTGGCTTCTCCAGACGATACTAGAGGGCAGTGTCCGGTGGTGCAAGATGACCATGGGGTGAAGCTGTGCAGTTTCCAGGGCTTCCAGCAGTCTCCGGTAGCACCGCACCATTTTCTCATCTGGATTCTTGGAGCTTCCTGTTGGAAGCAGCTGTGCCCACGGCAGAAATATTTTATAATGGGTGACCTGGTTGGCATGAACACTGTTGAAGTACTCTGGTAGAAAGGTGGGCAGTGGCTGGTGACAAATATAAATGTCCTTGTCATCTGCTGCAACATTAGAGCCCTGGTTTCCCAGTGGGCTGCTCAGGTTGTGCAGCAAGGCATTGGTTAGAGGACCAGCAGCTGAAATGAAATTTCTGTCAGACTCCCAGTCTAACCCCCAGCCTGAGTAACTTAAAAGGACAGTGAAGACTAAATTCCAAGGCAGCTCCATGTTCAAGGAACTGCTAAGCAGGTATGTGATATCCTTACTTTATAACTGCAGTTGGGGTTGTAAAAATACTGAGTGATTATTAGTACCTAATATTTAACTGTGTCATCTATGATAATGAAATGAGTACAGGGTTCACCAGTGGAATATTTAAAAACATAAAGACCAAACGAAGAACCTAGAGAATGTTTGAAGAAAAAATTCTCTACATTTTTGTTTTACATACAAAATTACTTTAACATTTGATTACATAATAGAATAAAAATTAATCCCTCATAAAACTTTTTTCCCTTAAACATATATAAGTAATCTATAAGAACATTTTGCAAAAGATTCAAATGATACAGAAACATGTATGAAAAACTTGAAAATACCCTTATAGCCAGTCACTCTCCTTCCTTCCCAAGGATAACCATTTTAAACAGTGTACTTTCGTCAGCCCCACTCCTGACTCCATAGTTTACTAGTGGTTAACCAGGAATCAGAATGCCTACATTTAAATTTCATCTGGACTGTCACTTAACCCGTGTTTTGGTTCCCTCGATTATAGAATGGGGTTACTGATAGCTTCTGAGTATTAAATAAGGTCATTTTTGTAGAGTGTGTAGAACAGTGCTATTCAGTGATAGCTGTTATGTTATACAAATGCAAACGTGTATCTGTATATATATACATACACATCCCAGTCAATTTAACATACATAATAGGATCATGGCCTATGTATTGTTCCTCTGGTTTATTTTATTCAATAGCTCTTGGAGCTCTGTCAACATCAGTATCTTCTTATTGCTATCTCATTTTTCTGATTACTTAGAGGTGAAAGCTCTTTGTAAATAGACCATTTCTCTTCTGAAAATTGTCCATTTTTATTGTATTTATCTTATTACTGATATATATTAAGTATATTTTAGTATATTAGTATATTTTAAGTATTACGTATTAAAGTATGTTACAAAAATTGTTCCCAAACTTAAATTTCTTAACTTTGTTTTTAATCCTTAATTCTTTAGCTTATCTTGAATTTTAACTTTGTGTATGCTGTGCAGCAGGGCTAATCAGGTTATAATGTGTTATTGGATAGTCATTCTTTCCCCACTACTTGAAATGCCACCTTTATCAGAAATGAAATATAAACATACACATAGTGCAGTGCATTGGGTTTCCTTATGCGGACTTTTTGGCCTGAGTTTGTGGGGGAGAAAAAAAAGAAAAAACTTGAGAAGGGATTTCCCAAGTGTTTGACATGTCCTGGGTAAGCTGTAAAAGCTTTATGGTTTGTAACTTTTATACCACATGGCTGGGAAATTAACACAAGGCCTGAGTTTATTTGCATAATCGAGGATTGTTTAGGCTCTGAACCTGATAAGGAGGCAGTGCCTTAAAATTGACAAGAAATGTCCTACATAAAGGGCTGAAAAACAGGTTCTAGGGGTCCTCTTGGGCAAGACCTAGAAGGATGGGTGCATCCTTTGGGATACAGAGGCCATGCACTGAGGACCCTCCCAGGCCCAATAAGGAGCTGTAACACTGATAAAGAGCTGTAACATTGATGGAAAGGTGGACTCAGCAAAAAGCAGAGCAGTCAGCAGCAACTGGTAGAATCAGCAGTGGCCAGGAGAAGCCAACAGCCCGGGCAAAGGAGTGACAGTGGAGTGCTCAGAGTGGGCCAGGATGAAACAGAGGTTTTGGGGTCTTCTTGACTGACAGCTGAGGGTGTTATATCCATTAGGATATAGAAGCCTCTGGTAACGTAGCGCCTAAGGCACTTGACTGCTAACCAGAAGGCTGGTGGTTCAAACCCACCAGCCACTCCTCGGAAGGAAGATGGGGCAATCTACTTCTGTTGTGATACTGCCTCGGAATCCCAAAGAGGGGTCACTGTGAGTTGGGTCCGACTTGACGGCACATAACAACACTGGAAAGCCTCTCCGACCTGTAACACACCTACAGCTGTGGACTAGCAGTGATGTCAGAAAAGACAACCAGCAGGCTCAGATGATGGCAACAGAGCAGAGCAGAGCAGAGCTGAGAGCTACATTATGAAGAACTGAGGAGTGATAGGCCCAAGAGCAGAGCTATCCCAAGGCTGCTGGTTGAGAGCTAGGTCAGTGACAAGAGCAGAGCAGACATGGAGAGTGTGCAAGTGCACACGTGCGTGACAACAACAGTACCCATGACACACACACCGATAATTTAAGTGGCAATGCAGTTCAGGTACAGGATCCACAGTGCACGTGCCAACACTTGAACCATGGCACACCTGCCCTGCCCAGTGATGTTAAGAGTAAACATCTATTTCCAGGAGGGGGATCCATCTGAGACTATGCTCTGTGCATTTCTGTTAAAATTTTCTCAGTATTTTTAAATTAAAAACTGTTATTATAGGTGTGGTGATTCTGTGAGGCAGTGGATACCCCAGCATACTATTGACTGAACACAAAGAATGCAATGGAGGAAGCAACTGGTCAGAAATAATGGAGAAATAAGATATACTTGGCCTCCATCTCATGGGAACTAGCTTTGGACTGATTCTCAAAGTTAGTCCTAAGTTACAGGAATTATCACTTCACACAGCTATTTCTGGGCTGTTTGGTCTTTTTTTTAAATCTATTGCTCTTTTAATCTAATCCAATTATCACCCTATTTTAATTTCCATAGCTCTATATCACTTTTTAAGTCCCTGGGTATGCAAATGGTTTGTGCTCAGCTAGCAACCAAATGGTTCATGGTTTGAACCTACCTAGTAGCACTGTGAAAGAGGCCTGGTGACCTGCTTCCACAAAAGCTTACAGCCAAGTCGACTATAGAGCTCTACTCTGTAACTCATAGGGTGATCAAGAGTTGGAATCGACTTGAAGGAACAAGACAACATACCTTTTTTTTTGCTTTTTGCTGATAGGACAAGGCTTCTCATTATTATTATTATTTTCCCCAGAATTCTCTCGGCTATTTGTGTATTTTTTTACATATGTGTCCTAGAGATATTTCCACTTTAGAATCTAGGTCTACTTCATTTTCAAGTGCATCTCATACAATAGCTGTAACACAACTTACGTAATTTCTTTACTGATAGACATCTGTTGGGATGGTAGAAAATTTACAGATCAACTGACAACTTAAAACATTCATCTTCAGGGACATGTCTATCCACTTATCTTCTTTAGTACTACTGATTTTCTTCATAAAGATGCTCCATTTTCCATTAGCTACTTCATCTCCCTAACAAGGACCATGTGTATTTGAAAATGTAGGCACTTATTCAAATGTGCAGAAACTGACTTTTTTTTTGCAGTAATGAGCACCTTGCTCTAGAATCCACTCTAACTAGTGGCAGAATTGGGGAAGGACGGACAAATACCCCAATTAAAAGAATTCATCTTTCCTGGATCTAAAATCCTCCTTTGGTAAATATTTGGTCAAATTAAAATCCCAATTCTTGTTATGACTATTTCTCTCCTTTACAGGGACCTCCCATACCATCTTTTCTTAAGTTGGAGTCAGTGCAGAGAGCAGCTCTTCCTGACAGAAGTGGGAGAGGGTTCTTCCTTGCCCTCTTATGGATCTTCACCAGAGTATCTTCACCTCCCCCTGATACTGAAATGTTGTGCCTGGTAGAGGCAGAGGGTCTAATCCTGCACTCCAGGTTTACTAATCCCAAAGTCAAGGCTTCTCCTAACTACCCTCATTAATTAGAAACATACTTTTGACAGAAGCCATATACCCTTCACCTGTTAACTGTGTAACTTCTCTATTCATTTTCAGCCCAACTGTTTATACCAGGGGAGTATGAAATGTTTGTAAACTCACATTGTTGTTGTTGTTGTTATTTGCCGTCGAGTCGGCCCAACTCATAGCGACCCCTCCTTGGGTTTCCGAGGCAGTATCACTACGGAAGTAGGATTGCCCAACCTTCCTTCCGAGCAGTGGCTGGTGGGTTTGAACCGCCAGCCTTCTGGTTAGCAGTCAAGTGCCTTAGGCACTATGCTACCAGAGCTCCCAAACTCACATATCACATACAAATCCACTCCCCAACAACCCTGCAGGCCCCAGAATGCCATCTGTTGTTGAAAGCTGCAATAATAGGGACTGCTACATCATGAACATACTGATCATAGATAAGTTTAAAGAGCTGTTAATATCATACACGGTAATAATTTTTCCTGGAAGAAAGCCATAAAATGGAACAGCTGGTAACATAGAAAATGGCACATTTCTCTTAAAAAGTGGCTGGAAACCAATTCTGAGAAGCTACCCTTAGCACACTAAAGTCAGAGAAGTTATTAACAAGGGTAATGGGGGTGAGGGGAGACCAAATAAATCTTTTTTTCTTTATAAATTGCCTTTAAAAAATAGAAAAGTGGAAGTAACCTTTAAGTTATCTCTCTAAGGCCCCTTAGTGTTCATACTAAGTAATTCTAAATAAGACTCCTCTTCCTCACAGGTACCTAATCCTAAAGGCTAGTCACAATGCCATGCTTCCATCCCCTCACCTGAGGTTAAACAAAAAGGGAAAGATTCACAGTCACAAGTCCATGGAAGCCACAAACCTATCAGAATAGAAGAGAAATAAATCCAACATACAACTACAGAACAAGTTATTTTATTTTGGTAAGTAACAGCAGTAGTTGGCAATTAAAAAAAAATTATTTCACCAACAAGATACCACATACCATAAAAAGGAATAAATTTTTCTACACATGTAAAATAAAGGTCTTGGTTATAAAAATCAGACATTGTGTCCTAACTTCATTTAGACAAGACCACACTATAGAAAGTGCTGAAGGCTGTGTTAATGTAAAAACATAGGGCAGGAATGTGGCTCCTAAGATCATCAACTCAGTTCTTATTTATTAAAACAAATCTTCTTTCTCAACCATCAGGCTCACTAGCAAAGCTCCACCCAGGAGGCAGAGAGCATCTCTGCCTGGGTCAGTTACTTTCAGTATCTCAGTCTTCCAGCAAGTAGTTAGGATTAACTACCAAGTAGGGATCTTCTTCATAGCTCTCACCGCCATCTGTAGAGCCTTTCAATCCAGCTTGGGTGAGCTCAATTAGAACATGATCCTGCGAAACACAAACATCTGTCCTCAGGTCTCCAGCAGTACTTAAAAATGACCAGAACACCAAATTTGATCCTTTGTCTGAATGACTGCTACCCATACCTCCCCAAATGCCTAGAAAAAGGATTATACCTTTATCAACAGTTTGCTAAAACCTGTTCCCATTACAATGCTGACCTCTTCATACCATAAATCCTTTTTGAAACATTAAGAAATATAATAAGCTTAACAATACTGTGATTTTAACAAGATGTCCTGGCACATTATGCCAAGCACTGTAAGTGTAATTTCAAAAAGGATAGGAAGAAATGCTTTAATTTTGAAGAATGTACAATAGTCTCTGCATCATTCAACAAATATCTGATACCTCTATGAGCCATCCACTGCTATAGGCTATAGACTTAACATTCTAATGAGGGAGACATACTAAAGGCCTCAATAAAGACTATCCTGCTTGGCTATGATCAACACTATGAAGAAAAACAAAGCAGGGTAAGGGAGAGGTGACAGCAAGGGCAGGAACTGCTACTTCAGACAGGTTAGGTAAGAAAGACTTCTGGTGGACGTTTGAGCAGATACCAGAATGGAGGAGGGTTTATCTGAGGAAAGAGACAAAGGACAAGTGCCAAAGTCCTCATGTTTGGTGTACGTAAGGAACAAAAACAAGGGCAGGGTGGCTGGGGTGGTACAGGTAGGGGAAGTGGCATGAAGTGAACAGAACTAGACTACATAAGGTCCCGTAGGCCATGTGGAGGAGACTGTCTGGTACTGTAAGTATGAAGAGAAGCCCTGACAGGTCTTAGAGCAGAGTGGTTAAAATAAAGAAAGTAACAGCCACAAAAAACCCTATATTGACCTCACTTGTGGGCAGAGAGCCAGAACAAAGGGTGCAGTAGTTAGAAGGCTCCTGCAGAAGTCCAGCATGGTGGCTTGGGTGGAAGTGGTGAAGATGTTGAGAAATGAATGGAGACTATATTATACGCTGAAGGCTGAGCTCACAGAATTTGCTGTTGAAGAGGAGTAATCGTGAGGAGAAAAATGGATGAAGGTCCAGTGTCTGGGCTGTAAGAATTGGGTACATGGAAATACTGGAGAGGAAAAAATCTCTTCTGAATATATTAAGTGTGAGATGCCTACTCATTCAGAAACAGGCAGCTGGCTGGCTATATAAATGTGGAAGGTAGAGGTGAGGGTTGGAAACATAAATGTGGGAGTCATTAGCCCATGGATCGAAATTCATAGAGCCAAATGAGTTCACTTAGGTAGTAAGTGTAAAAAGAAGAGGTCTGAGGACTGACTGTAGTGCACTCCATTTAAAAAGTGAGAGGAGGAAGGGTGAGTAAGAGACTAAGAAACTGAGAGAGAAGACTCAAAAAATGTGGTGACTAAAAGTGGTGAGTGAACAAAGCATTACCAGGAGTGATCATCTGTGACAAATGCTGCTGACAGGTTGAGTACTGAGAATAATAAACTGATTTGGCAAGAAGAAAGGTCATTCACTGGTGACTGGCCAAGCAGTGTTTCAGGAGTGGTGGGTGGTTTGAAAACTTTACTGGAAGGGGTTCAATAAAACTGAACAGGAGGGGGAGGAGAGAGATAATAGAGGGTCTAAGTACAGACAAGTCTTTTCAGGACTTTTTCTGTAAAGAGGTATATAACTAAGGCAGCAGCTACAGGTGAATGTGTAACTGGGATTCTCCAGCCTCTTTAAGGTGAGAGATATTACCATATACCATACATTTTTTATACTGACAGGAATTATCTAGTAAAGAGCAGGTAATTGCTAATGTAGAAGAGGAGATGATCCCAGAGCAAAGTCCTTGAGCAGGAAACAAAAGGTAGGTTCCCTTTAGAAGTCGAGGATTGGTCTTAGATGCAAGTAAGACACAGACAGAAAGAAGGGAGAAATATAAGAGTGATTAAAACACTCAAACACTAAAACTCTTATCTACCTTTCCAGATTTAACTCAAGTTCTGCTTTTAGCAGAGCAAATATGTTCCTTACATGCTCTAATTTATCCTTTGTTTTACAACTTGTAACTCTGACTAGCCTACAGTGATTCAAAATAAATGAACATCAAGAAACAGACCACACTAATGCACCTACAGATGTAAGCCATGAACTCCCTCCCATTAAGAACTCAAGCTGTAGAATCTGCAAAACACCACATAACGTGGACGAACTTGGAGGACATTATGCTGAGTGAAATAAGTCAATCAGAAAAGGACAAATATTGTATTAGTCCATTATTGTAAAAGTTAAGGAGAGGTTTATCTATAGAAAGAAATGTTCTTTGTTGGTTACCAGGGGTGGGAGGGGAGGGGAGGGGAGGGAATGCTGTTAGATAGATAGAGATAAGTATTCATTTGGGTGAAGAGAAGGGCAATGTACCAAATGTGAGTGACCAATATGGCGACATTGAGGAAGAGAAAGACATAGAGAGGTACATGGGAGGTACAGACAACAAAGATGAACCCTTTTGCACATACAGTACTGCATTGTCAGTGAAGGCAAACATGGGTATATGGGTGGATAGATGGGTGGACAGGCTGAACTATTAGGTATGTCTATGAAATGGGGAGTGTATCCAAGAACATGTATAGAGTTGGCAGACAATGGTCCTTTAAGTTTATGTGAATGATCAGAATTCCCAGGTGTATAGTAGAGCTGACAAGGGGCAAGGTTGTGGTCACTGCTTGGTCACAGCCAGCTACCCAGAGGGACTGAGCAGTTGAACCTGTGGGCTCAGGACCATAGTGGCAGGGGACATCAAGCTCAATTGGCATAATGTATTATACAAAACATTGTTCCACCTCCTACTTTGGTGAGTAGCAACTGGGATCTTAAAAGCTAGCAAGCTGCCATCTAGATGCAACGATGGGTCTCCCCTCATCAAAGAAGAATGAAGAAAACAAAAATTCATGGAAACAATTAGTCCTTTGTTGTTGTTGTTATGTGCTGTCGAGTCAGCCCTGACTCATAGCAACCACTCCTTGGGTTTCCGAGGCAGTATCACTACGGAAGTAGGATTGCCCAACCTTCCTTCCGAGGAGTGGCTGGTGGGTTTGAACCGCCAGCCTTCTGGTTAGCAGTCAAGTGCCTTATCCACTATGCTACCAGAGCTCCTGGTATACCACCCGATCTGTAGCCTATACGACCATGAGACCAGAAGAACTAGATGGTTCCTGGCTACCACTGTCATCCACTTGGAAGGGGATCGATGTAGGAGATTGTTGATAGGGAGAACAATGTGGCACAAAACTCAAAATCATTTGGAGAAAAAAAAAAGAGGGGGGGACCAGGTTTGCTGGTCCAATAGAGCCTGATGAAACCACTGAGACTATGGCCCCTAGCTGCCCTTCAGGTGTGCAACTGAACCCACACCCATGGTTTCCAGCCAAACAAAAGACAGGCATATGAGTTGAACATTTACCTCTGAAAGATACACTCCTTGGAGAGAATAACCATGGGAGAAAGAAGGGCTGCTTATGCACAGGGAGACAGCTCAGGGGGCAGGAGTGCATGGAGGGATGGACACAGGAAGAGGTAACTATGGGGAGGAAGTGGGAGGGGAGCTGTTGCATCGTGGTCAATGTCATGAGACAAAGTATATGTGAACTGCTGTATGGAAAGTGAATTTGCTCTGTAAATCTTCACCCAAATCACACACACACACACACACACAAAAAGAGAACTCAAGCAAGTGCAGTTCTGTACGTACATAGTGTGTGAGTCGATGAATGACTTTTTCTATGATTCTCTTTTTATTTATAAGTTCCTCTTCAGAGTCTATTTCTGATTCAATTTCCTTCAAGTACCAGTTAATAAGTTCACTCCTCTTTAATGACGACTCATCCTCTTCTGCAACAAAAATACATTTTGAAAGGATTAAGTTATTCTTCTAGCAAATTGTATTGCCAATCCTCAAAGTCTGCATACACAACAAAATCATGGACAGATCAGATAACCATCAAGCTGTCAGAAAGTAGATCTGCTGAAATAAGGTTTGTAATGTTCCAGCATAAGCCTGAAATAACCTGTCATACTACTTATTATTAAAGGATGCTTTACTTTATCCTGAAGAAGAGAAAAACCTAATAAAATAGAGATTATAAGAAACAAGTTTTGTAAAGCTATTAAAATTTCCAAGTAAGAACATCTTTCCTTTATCTTTTTACGCTTTATAAGAGAATGTTTGCCAGTAAGAACTGAAAGCATAAATTAGGAAGGAAGCAACATCAAGGAAAACATTTCAAATGTAATTTTTCCTTTTGAGAGAAGACTTTATGGAACTGACGTCAACTAAGATGTGAAACCCATGGACATTCACTCAAAAAAAAAAAAAAAAAGCAAAGGATACCCAAACAATTTACTCCAGTAAGGTCTATGTGTCTTAAAATTCCAAGGTAGTTTAATCATAAGCAAAGTTGTGACCCAGATAATACAGTAACTGCCACAGATTTAAAGTGATTTAAACATTTTATTATGACTGTACTGAAGTTACAGTGATCTGTCCACATGCTGCTGTACAAGTGACCTCCTTGGTTTAAAGGTCTGCTCCTTTATTAGAGAACAGCTGAGAGCTGAAAATTTATAACTCACTTGGCTGGGTTAACAGTACCTTTTTTTTCTTTTCTTTTTAAATAAAGAAGCCTCATTAAAATTTAGTGGTGGAATGCAGACAGTGTCTGAGTGCTAGTCTCATCAAATCATTGCTCCATCAATGATCTACCATGTTTAAAACTCAATTGGCACAAGGGAGGAATGGAATATGAAGTATATCGTGAATACAAGAACATGCAAGCTCCCCCACCTTTTTATGAGAGAACAGAGTGGGAAGAAAACCCAACATCTGTTCTAGTGGCTTCTTTGTTGCCTTCTCTCCTCCCACTGATCTAGTCCCTAGCAGAATATGAAGGAGAAAACTACGGCTCAAATCTTTAGTAAGCTAAGAGTTTCTGGTGCTTTCTTCCTCCTTAGAGGACGAGATATGCCCAGAAGCCTGCATTCTGAGTCAGCCTCAGAACTTTTAAATAAGAATCACTCATAGTTAGCCACCAGTAGAAATGCGTAATCTTTGGTTTGTTTCCCCTTCTGTTTTGTGGCTTCCTGTACACAGAAAAAATTTGGAATAGTATGGTAAAGCAGTGAACTGTAGGACATGTATTAGTGTCCAGATACCATACCATTTCCTGTGAAAAGATACAAACTGCACTTCATTTCTAGTATGGAATGGCTTTGGGTGGCACACACTTCTGAGCTCATTTACTTGACTCTAAATTATAAATACCCTAGGAGTCCATCTGTTTTAAATTGTCATTATAAGCAGCAATAATTTTGCATCTGTAAAAACATTTGTGTCTCTTCACATGTTACTAGGTCCCAAATTCTGCTTCAAAAATATTATTAAAGGTAAGTACTATTACACACACAATACTGTATTATCAGTAGCAGCAAACTTCATAGGTATACAGGCAAAAAGATCAGGTATCAGATCAGAATGGGAATTACGACCACACATAGGTTGGACTTAACAATATTCCTACACATTTGTTATTGTTATATGCTGTTGAGTTGGACCCGACTCATAGTGACCCTTCCTTGGGTTTCCAAGGCAGTATCACTATGGAAGTAGATTGCCCAATCTTCCTTCCAAGGAGTGGCTGGTGGGTTTGAACCACCAGCCTTCTGGTTAGCAGTCAAGTGCCTTAGGCACTATGCTATCATAGCTCCTTCCTACACCTTTATATGTGCTACAAAACTGTCCATATGCCGTATAGAGCTAACAGGGGACAACAAATTCAAGATAACTTCTTAGCTACAACTAAGCACCTAGACAGAGTGAGTCTCTGGGCCTGTGGCCTCAGGATCATGGTTGCAGGGGACATCAAGGTCAACTGGAGCAACATAGTACATATAAACATTGTTCTGCACCATGCTTTGGTGAGTAGCAACTGGAGCCTTAAAAGCTTGTGAACAGCCATGTAAAATGCAACCACTGGTTTCTTCTTGTCTGGAGCAAAGAAGAGTGAAGAAAATCAAAGACATATGGAAACAGTTAGTCCAAAGGACTAATGGACCACGAGCCTATATGATCCTGAGACTAGAAGAACTAGATGGTACCTGGCTAGCACTACCAACCACTTGGAAAGGGATCAAAACTGAGATACTGGACAGAGTGGGAGAAAAAGTGGAAAAAAATATTTTAAAAAATAAAACATAAAAAAGACCAGGATTACTGGTGGGGTTGGTGAAACCCCCAAGATTATGGCCCCTAGTCACCCCTCAGGCCTGGAATTGGACTCTCTCCCACGGCTAACTTTCAGCCCAACAATAGATAGGTCTATGAGCTGAACAACTACACCAGAGAGATGCACTCCTTAGAACAATCTATCAGAAGGGCCACATTTGCACAGGGAGAAAGCCAGGAAGGCAGGAATGCACAGGTGGGAAGGACACAGGAAAAGGGTGACCACAAGGAGAAGTTGGAAGAGACCTGTTACAATGTAGAGACTGCAATCAGTGTCACAAAACAGAATGTGTATGAACTGTTGAATGTAAAACAATCTGCTTTGTACAGTTTCACCTAAATTAAAATAGGCCAAGGACATTAGTAAGAATGATCCATAACCCTCTGTCTGGCAATGAACTTTTGGGGAAAGGTGCAGCCTGGCAGGCATGCTGGTACACTGGAGATCTGCGTTGTTAAAGCGAGCCTGTCTAACGATTTATAATCTCTTAGGGTAGACATTACAATCTTTAGCAATTAGCAACAGCTTATGTGAATATGGATTATGTAAAAGACTAAGCATGTAAGCAGTACTAGGTACAGCCTTACCTTCTTCCATCTTCCTGAGGTGAAGCACAATAAGGTTAGAGATTCGGCAGTACTCAGAAAAATTCAGCCTTAAGGAGGCTTTGGGAACAGACTCTTGGTTTATGTCATCAATGTGGCCATTGATTCCATTCACAGGTGCAGGGCTGTCAGCATGGCCTAAGTGAAAAATTAACTATTTGAGTCTTGACTGTTTATAAATATACTAAAACCAAACCAAACTCACTGCTGTTGAGTTGGATCTGACTCATATAGCGACCCCTCTTTGGGTTTCCGAGGTGGTATCACTACAGATGTAGACTGCCCAACCTTCATCCTGAAGAGTGGCTGGTGGATTTGAACTGCCAGCCTTCTGGTTAGCAGTCAAATGCCTTAGGCACTACGCTACCAGAGCTCCCTATACCAGTTGTATTTTAATACTAACTCCAAAATACGGATATGTTTATACATAGCATTTATTAAAGTTATGAATAAAATACAAGCAAATCTGTAAGCACTACTAGTGAAGACAAACTATTTTGGGAAGGAATACGAAGGATGAAAGATACAGTTTTCATGATCCCAAAATGAACTTGCAATATTATGTATAAAATAAAAAAATTTGGTATTTAATTGCCTGTTCTCATAGCGTCCCCTCCTTGGGTTTCTGAAGCAGTATCTCTAAGGAAGTAGATTGCCCAATCTTCCTTCTGAGGAGTGGCTAGTGGGTTTGAAACACCAGCCTTCTGGTTAGAAGTCAAATGCCTTAGGCACTACGCCAACCAGAGCACCCATTTTTTTCTTAAATGTTTTTAAAAAACTTTTTTCTAAATTTCAAAAGCAAAGGAACAATACAAATAAGGGTGGAAGCCAGGAGTTACGACCACAAACCATAATCATCTCAGTGTATTTCCTCTCAGTCTTTCATGTATATCTATTTTACATCAATTATTTATTTCTATTTTAGCTTGTAAACAATAAATACAACTGGATGTCTTTTCCGCTTTTGCTACAGACTTCTAACCATTAACAAGTGCACCTTTACGCTGACATCTCAGAAAATTTTTCAGTTTTAATTCCAAAACAGTCACATGAACAAATATCTCACCATTGATGCCACCTGGGCCCTCATCTACCTCCATCTGGGTCTCTTCTTCTTGATCTAGATTGACATCAGGTGTTTCCACACGGATGATTGATTTATTCAGTAACCTGAAAGCTTCCTTCACATGTTTAGGTTGGACCTGAATGGATCAAGATGATGGAGGTCAGTCTTCTTAATATAACAGATTTTCTCTAGACAAGTAGTTGTGGTATTTTGGGTTTCTGTCTCTCTCTCTCTCTTATCTCTCTCTCTCTCACACACACACACACACACAATATAACTTAACCACATATTCAACAGAACAGCTAACATAAGGTAATTGGTAAAAGCCTTGAAGATATAGAAATGATCTAATAAAAATCAAGATGGGAAAAGTTGAAGAGGGCAAGGAGATATGTGAGACTGAGTAAGTTTGTTGACTGACAGATTGGGGCAAAAAATGATAAATTAAGTGATATATACAGAAGTGTATTTGTACAAAGGTAAATACTAAGATATTATTTACTAATTTCAGGTGGTTAAATAGGAGGGACAGAGGAAAGAATGAAAGATGCCAGATTTATTACTGTTCATAGCAGGAACCAAAGGAAAACTAATATAAAATAAAAGTATAATAATAAAAATAACAACTAGAATAAAATACAAACCTTCCTAATACCAGAACTGGACATACAAACAAAAGCAGAGACCACGCAGTGACTTTTAAAAGAAAAAAATGCAATAGATACATCTTTTCTATCCATAAATGTAAATGGGTTTAATTCACCTAAAGAAAAAGATTTTCAGACTGAGTCACAAAACCCAAGTCCATACTGTACACACTTAAACTGATTCAGAAATGTCACAAAATAAAAATATACACAAAAGCACAACAAAGTAAGGTGACATTCACACCAAGAACTATCAGAAAGGCCCCTCCTAAAGTTAAAGGGCGCAAATCATAATGAAAATCTATGTTAGTTGAAAATCAGACTCATAAAGCAGAAATTATTAGCTATGGAAATGCAAAGAGACTATTACTATATTATTGGTAGGAAAAATAGAAACTATTAATAGGAGACTTTTAATTTACTTTTCAAGCAAGACATGCTGCCCTGAAAAAAGATATTGAGCCCATATGACTTAATAAGGTAGATCTTATATATATATACACTCAAAAGAATATTTGAAAAATCAGGTATAATTAAGGTAAATGAGGCATTATGAGCGAGTTATAACTGTCTTAAAGGGCCATTATTTGACGGGCAGGTGGTGGTGCTGGTATGGGATCACTGTCCACCTATTTTACCTAAAGCACTGGTTCATTCATGGCAAGATAAGGTACTTGTACCAGAATGTAAACCAATCTTTCAGTGAAGAAGTCTTGCTATTAAAAAAGCTAACTAAATTAAACAGTATCATCTAAGTAGACACACAGCATGAGCCAAAAATAAACATTTCTGTTTTAGGTGGCTGAAAATTTTGTAGACACAGAACCTACCCAATTCTAGCTATTATAGTGTACTTGGATAGAAAGAATCAAAGATGTCCATTCATTAAGTTAAACTCATTAAATATATAAATTTAATGTGATCTCAATAAAAATATATAAATTTAATGTGACTGTCAAATTTTGTTTTTTTTTTAAACTAAGTAAGCTGTGGTAGTTGTGTGTCAATTTGGCTGGGCCTTGTTTTGAATGGCTGGGTAGCTATATGTAGTATTCCCCATGATGAGACTGGTAATCAGCTCCGTGGTGCAATGTACTAGAGCAGCTGAGTAGTTGCCTTAGGGATGTGATCTGCTTCCAGTATAAAAGATAGCTTTGAGAAAGGTCTCTGAGCTTTTCTGGCACACTTGGACCCTGCGTATAGCCCATTCTCCATTCAGCAGCCTGTCATGATTGTCTGCCAATCTTGGGACTGTTTCTAGACTTGAACTAGTGGTCTGCCATACTGATTAATTATCTTGGGACTGTGCTATTTTACTGGTGGAGCTTGGGTTTCACAGTCTTAGTAGCCAGCAGCTGCCTGAGTTAAGAGAAGCCTCCAGCTTCAGTGGGCTGGGAGCAAGAGGCAGAGCTGAAGCCCAAGGTCAAGGGGCCTTCACCCAGCCCCTAGAGCTGGCACCAAGAACTTGGAATTCTACCCTCCTAAACTATAAGAGAATAAATTCCTGTTTGTTAAAACCCACCACCTACTTGTGGTATTCCTATTGGAGCAGCACTGAGGTAGCCAAAAATATAAGCTTTTTCTCAAGTTCATAACAGGTTTAAAAGAACAATGAGGTAGAACTAGCCCTACATTTTAAATATATTAATTAAAATATCACAGTACAAATGTACAAGGATGCTGATATTCCAATGGAACAGAGGAGGAAAAGTTCAGAAAGAGATCCTAATATGTGCAAGAATTTAATATATAATAAAAGCATTGTGAACCAGGGTGGGAAAGATGGATTTTTAAACAAATGGTGTAACAACTATGTAACTATCTGAAAAAGAATCAATGGAGATTCATACCACACATCTATGTTGTTGTTGTTGTTATGTGCCATCGAGTCAAACCTGACTCGTAGCGACCCCTCCTTGGGTTTCCGAGGCAGTATCACTACGGAAGTAGGATTGCCCAACCTTCCTTCCGAGGAGTGGCTGGTGGGTTTGAACCGCCAGCCCTCTGGTTAGCAGGCAAGTGTCTTATCCACTATGCTACCAGAGCTCCCATAGCAGAATAAATAACAAGCATTTGGATGATTTAAATGGGAACAATGAAACCATGTAAGAGGAAATCATGGGGAGAACTCTTTTATAATCTCACAGTGGCACAGGCCTCTCTAATAAAATAATAAGTACTTCTATCATAAAGTCTGCATGGCAAAACCTATCATAATCAAAGGAGGAAAAAAGCATAAACTGGGACTATCTACCATTCTATCACATAAAAAAAATTTCCCAATGTATGGAGAACTCCTATGACTCTCTTACAAGAAGTCCAACCCAACAGATAAATAGACAAATATAAACAATAAAGGAAACAAATATTGCTCTTAAATATGAAAACAAACTGCATTTATTTTCAAATCATGTGAATTTGCCACCTAAGGACTAACTTAAAAATGAGTCTATTAGAGATATTATCTGAAGACACATACCCATTTGATGAAACTTATTTCAGGAAATACACTCACTCTTCACTTAGCAACATCATTATATTTCAAAGACCAGGTCATTATGTGAAAGTCTGCATTCTGTGAAAATGGAGGAGGGCTACATCATTCCACAACTGCCAACTCACTGAGAATCATGGCCCAGCCAAGTTGATACATAACCTCAACAGCCACCAGTACTCTTGTCTCCAAGGTATCCTGGAGTTCATTACTGCCAGCTGTATGTCCTTAAAGCTCAAAATAGTCAGACAGTAGATGTAATGAGATAGTTGAGGAGTGAGGAACAGGTGTATCATGAAGAAAGAGTACAAATGTTAGCAAGTACGTATACACTATGCTCATGCTAAACCTTTCACCTTCATTCTAGAATACCCTTTCCCCCAAGGTCTCTGCCTATCCAAATTCTAAACATCCTTCAGTGATCAGGTTTAAACAAAGGAACTTCCATAAACCTTCCCTCTTAATCAGTAATGTATTGATTAACCTTTCTACTCTTTGTGAAATTTCTACATAAAATTTGCTATTTTAACTAATTTTTAGTATACAATTCAGTGGCATGAATTATATACACAATGTTGTGCAAGCATCACCATGATCTATTTCCAAATTTTTTTCATCACTCCAAATAAGAACTCTGTACCCATTAAGTAGTAACTTTTCATTACTCCCTTCCCCTGGTAACATCTATGTTTCTATGAATTTGTCTATTCTAGATTATTTCATATACTTGGAATCATACAGTATTTGTCCTTTTGTGTTTGATTTATTTTTACTTAGCATATTTTCAAGGTTCATCCATGTTTTAGCATGCATCAGAACTATATTCCTTTTTATAACTAAGTAATATTTCACTGTATGTATATACTACATTTTGTTTATCCGTTTGTACTGATGGATACTTGGGTTGTTTTCATCTTTTGGCAACTGTGAATAACACTGCAATGAATACTGGTGTGTATTTGTTCAAGTCTCTAAAAACTAATTAACATATAATAATCTATTAGAAATATTATAGGTATACAACTAGAAATGGAATTGCTGGGTCATATGGTAATCACATTTGATTTTTTGAGGAACCACCCAACTGTTGTCCACAGTGCCTATATACCATTTTACATTTCCACCAGCAAAGGTTGGACAAATTGGACAAAAGGTCCAATTTCTCCCCATCTTTGCCAATACTTGTTAATATGAACTGGTATTTCATTATGGTTTTGATTTGCAGTTCCCTAATGGCTAATTAAAAAACCAAACTCACTACTGTGGAGTCAGATCTGACTCAAAGCGACCCCTCCTTGGGTTTCTGAGATGGTATCACTAAGGAAGTAGATTGCCCAATCTTCCTTCTGAGGAGTAGCTGGTGGGTTTGAACCTCTAGCCTTCTGGTTAGCAGTCAGAGTATCATTTCATGTGTTTACTGGCAATTTGTATATCTTCTTTAGAGAAATGTCTATTTCAGTCCCTTGTCTACTTTTTTAAATTTGGTTGTCTTTTTCATTGATGAAGGAGCTTTGGTGACTCAGTGGGTAAGGTACTTGGCTATTAACCAGAATGTTGGCTGTTCAAACCCACCAGCCACTCCACAGGAGGAAGTTGAGACAATCTACTTCCATAAAGACCTATAGCCTTGGAAACCATATGGGGGTTGCTTGCGGAATTAGTCTGAATTAACTCAATGGCAACTCAATGGGTTAGGTTTTTTGTTGATGAGTGGTAAGAGTTCTGTATATATTCTGAAAATTAACTCTTATAAAATATTAGGATTTGCAAATATTTTCTCATTCTGTAGGATGTTTTATCACCTTCTTGATTGTTCATTAGTACACAAAAGTTTTTAATTTTGATGAAGTCTAGTTTATTTACTTTGTCTTCTGTTGCTTGTGCTTTTGGTGCTTCCCTATTTCTTACAGTCTTGCTCCCACCAGATTAGCAGCAATGAAAGGCAGGAGCTCTCTTACTCATCTCTTATCCCACCAAGATGTCAAATTTTGGGTAAACTGAAGAAAATCAACTAAGAGAGTGTGAAAGTATATTGTAAATACTAAAGCACCACTGGAAGAAAGGCCCAGCCATCTACTTTTCAAAAACGAACCAGTGAAAGCCCTATGAATCACAATGGTTTGAAACTGTTGTGCATGGGTTTGCTCTAAGTCAGGGTAGACTCAAAAGCAGCTAACAACAAGGAATAAGAAAACTTAAAAACAAAATGAATCTAGGTGATAGAAATGGTAACTGGAGTCAGAATAGTGGTTATCGCTGGAAGGGGGGCTAAGAGTGAAAAGGGCACAAGGGAACTTTCTGGGATGATAGAAATACTCTATTCTTGAGCTGGGTTGTCAAAGATACATATATGTAGAAAGTCAATATATATGTAAATACATGTAAATTATCCCTCAAGCAAATTCTTTAAAAATTAATATAGTCAAACCATTATGTCAAATAAAATCTTACACTGAACCTACTATATAAAACTAGGTAAAAGCAGATTTGCTTTGGTTGAAGCAGAGATGTGAGTGCTTGAAAGCCCTTCAATATTGTTTCCCCTTTTATCTCCTCACTACCCTCTGAGATGTCACTTTAAAATCAAACATTACACAAACCGAAGGAGGAGAGTTCCCTGTGAGGCCAGGTGCTACATTACCACGTCTGTATCCCCAGACCAGAGGCCCAGCACATAGTAGGGTTTGAATAAATTTTCCCTGAAGGAATGATATTACTGGTAACTCATGTCTACACGCACTCTAAATCCATGACATGATTATCTCATTACAATTAATCTAACCATTCCATTCAAATGGTTGATGACAATCTTCTTAGAAGGACAAATCCCAAGGTCATGTATCCTATGAGCATTCAACAGTTATAAAAAAAATAAATCTACAACAAATGTCAGTATGTCCTACACCAAAGATGAAAACATGTCCATAAGCCAACAAATTAATTCCTCCTTTCTCTTATCATATCAAAGTGGGTTTGATACCTCATCACAGCAGTGCATCCGGGCCATTGCTTCAGAGAGCCGGATCATGCTCTCCAGCTGACGCACTGTAATCCTCCATGAAGATTTGGTTACACCAGAACCATCTCTCTGGCGGAGACGTTTATACTGCTCCACAATGAAGTCTTCTGACTCTTTAGAAATCTGTTTCAGAACACCACTGAAGTCAGAGCAGCATTGTCACATAATAATTTACTGTTTAAATGAAGGGGCCCATTGCCACTTTCCCATGCAAACAAGAACTGCATTAAATGTACATTTAATAGCTCTCTAGGTAGAGACACCACACTGAGTCAAGAGGGTCAAAACTTTAAGCCAGTGACAACGAATTACTACTGAAATGCGTCAAAAGCACTAACACTAAGGAGGGTTGTGAACTCCATATACTAATTTTATGAAACAAGGAGACCTGGTGGCACAGTGGTTAAGTGCTCAACTGTTAACCAGAAAGTCAGCAGTTTGAACCCACCAGCTGCTTCACGGGAGAAAGATGTGGCAGTCTGCCTTCATAAAGATCACAACCTTGGAAACCCCATAGGACAGTTTTGCTCTTTTTCACATTTTATGAATATGAAAAGAGCAAGCTTAGTATTAAGCAAATGACCATTTCTAAAAGAAGCTTGACACGCTGAAGTGATGGAATAGGATATAATGCCTTTCATACCTCAGAGGATGTCAAAGAGCTTATTAAACACGTTAGTGCTCAGGATGTTCTTGAGACTCAATAAATTAATTTATCTTTGGGAGCAAACAGAGTCACATATATGTGCCAGCTGTTTCAGTAAGCTTTTTATTTACTGAATAGCAATAATAAAATAAGGAATATAAAAGGATCCTGAGTTTTTCAGAGTGAGGAACTTAGCATATTAAGGGAGTACACATACCAAGGTCACAGAGAAACCAGTACACAGCATGGAGAACAGATGCCTCTTCACAAAAACTGACCCAGAGCCCTTAATTTTAAAGGACTCACTAAGCTTATCTAAGACACTGAGAGCTAACCCCAGTACCAAGGCTACTCAGGTAATGGTAAAAGATAATTAAAATCTAAGGATAACACCCAAATGTCAAGTATGACAACAAAAATCTCTATCAGAATCAAATAAAATTTTTATTTTTGTATTCTATGATGTATTATGGAGATTTATTTTACAAATAAATTTCCAAGTGAGTATTCTGGAGCCAATACAGATTCAGTCCAACGAAATACGTTAATTACTTCAGAACAGTAATTCATGTTCATCATAATGACCTAGAGGAATGAAAATTCTTCCTCAGAGAGATTCAAAAGCATTAAGTCCATTATTAACTTTGACATCTACATAAGGTTTCAAAAGAATCAGGAATAATGACTGGAGTTAAAGAGCAGCCTGGCCTATTCAATTCTCCAAAATGCTTCTCAAATAAAAATATTTTTATTAGTACCAAACAAGCAAATTAAATAGAATTATTCAGGATTTTAAAAACCAATTTCCTCCTCTCAAACTCTCTGATGAAGAAACAAATGGCTGTTCAAAAAAAGTTTTAAAAATTCAGCTTGTTGTTGTTGTTAGGTGCCGTCAAATTGTCTCTGATTCATAGCGACCCTATGCACAGCAGAACAAAACACTGCCTGGTCTTGTGCCAGCCTCACCATCCTTGCTATTCCTCAGCCCATCGTTGCAGCCACAGTTTATTTTCCTAATATATCCATTATTCCCGACCCCAGTACAAAAGGGTAGGTTACCTTGGGTTTAAACTGTCTTGCAAAGAGAAGATACCTCCTGATATCATCAAGGGAATAGACACGATCAATAGAATCCTCAATTCTTGAATGTAAGTCGACTATTCGCCTGGCAATAGCATAATCTGTGACCTAATTCAAAACAAAAAAATCACTTTGATCAGTCATAGAAATATCAAATATCTACTCTAGATCTTCCCAAGCAATGAAAAAATGATGTGTAGCTAATAAGTGCTTATCTGTCACTGAAGGAAGTATTAAGAGGTACCAATTTCTGAGGAAAGTTTGAACAGTCTAGTTTCAGAGTCTATGCTCTTAACCATGACATTATATTGCTACTCATGAATATATAACCATTCCAGAATGCTACAGCATTGAAAACATACTAAAAATAAGAAACTTTACCCTCAAATGATTCAGAAAAAAAATGTATACATATATAGAGAGCAAATGACAAAAAGCAAATGGGGCAAAATATTAATAGGTGAATCAAATAAAGGGTACGTGGGTGTTTTATGCACTATTCTATTTCTCATAGCTTTTCTATAAAGTTGAAATTATCTCCAAATAAAATGTGTTTTAAAAAGTATACTCCTAAGGTTTTAAAGGTTTATAACTTGATTTTTCCTGCTCCTAATTTAACGAGTCATGGACAAACAGAAATATATGAAGATCAGATAATTATCTGGAAGTTAAACAAATACTTACACGCTTTTTTCAAAGAACCCCACACAAAAAAATAAAACCCAAGTCCCTCAAATAGTCACATAATGGGAGGCAAGTTTTTCCCTTTTCAGATATTTAAAGTTCCACTGTATGGCAAGATATAAGATCAACATACAAAAATCAGTGGGATTCCTCTACATTAACAAAAAGGCCTCTGAAAAGGAAATAAGGAAAATACCATTTACAACAATAGCTACCAAAAAGATAAATATTTAGGAATCTTACCAGAGACACAAAAGATCTATACAAAGAAAACTACAAAATACTACTGCAAGAAACTACAAAGGATCTACATAAATGGAAGAACTTGCCCTGTTCATGAATAGAAAAACTGAATATTGTGAAAATGTCAATATTACCCAAAGCAATCTACACATTCAATATAATCCCGATCTAGAGACCATCAATATTTTTTAAGGATAGGGAAAAACCAATTATTAATTTCATATGAAAAGTAAAGAGACCTCAGATAAGCAAAGCACTGCTGAAGAAGAAGAACAAAGTAGGAAGTCTCACACTCCCAGATCTCAAAACCTACTATACAGACATAGTAGTTAAAACAGCATGATATTGGTACAATGACAGATAGACCAATGGAACAGAATCAAAAACCCAAAAACAGACTCATCCATCTGTGGATAGCTGATCTTTGACAATGGACCAAAATCCATTAAATGGGGAAGAGAGCGCCTCTTTAACAAATGGTGCTGGCAAAACTGGATATGCAGAAAAATGAAACAAGACCCATAACTCACCCCAAACACACAAAAAAACTCAAGTTGAATCAAAAACTTAAATGTAGGAGACGGGGGAAGATGGCAGACTAGGCAGAAGGATTGCACAGACCCTCTTCAACAAAGAAAAGGGAAACCAATTAACACAGACACAGAAGATAATCTTGGACCCCTGAGCCTTGAAGGA